TGTTTACTATTTACCAATTGTTTACACATAATTGCATTTCTTTTTCCCCATCACTCCCTCAATTACCCTTTTAGGTGAGAATCATTATGCCCAATTAACTTAAGACAAATGAAAAGCCCATAAAAGTAAGTTACCCTAAATCACAAAGCTAGTGAAGAGCAAAGCTAAGATTCACATCCAGGTTTTTGGACTCCCTAACCAGCATTTATTCCACTGTATCCCAGACTTTCCCCTCAGATCTGTATTTGGATTAGGTCAATAAGAGGAATTGTAAGTATAAAATAATATTAAAAATCAAACCATAGTAAAGATGTATTGGTTTTAATTATGTGAAATTTTATATGCATATATTAAAAATGATGATAATCCAAATGAGACTGATGGAAAACAACTGGAATTAAAAACATACAAGTTTGTTTTTCCTATGAAGCTGCTTGAGCATATAATACAGAAAATCACTAAAATCTGCTCCTCCAAGCATGCCTGTACCAGGCTAATTAAGGTTAAGAAAAAACAATATATATAAAACACCTGTTAAAGGCTAAATGCAGCTATGCCAGGTTAAGATAGAGAAATATCCTATCCTTCATAAAATTCTCAGCTCTTTCAGAGGCGAATGAACTGGTCAAGTTTCTCTGCAATATCAAGGGATGAAACTTCTGCAAGTTAAAAAGCTTGAGGGCAAGTTCATGTCTCTGTAGAAATCTCCTTTTCTTAAAATTAGCACTTATAGATGATAACAAACATTATTTAAATTCTTCTGTCAACCAAAAGAATTAAATTCTGAGAGATCCCCTTTGAAGTACACCTATCACCTTCAGTCAAATAAAATCACTTCAGAATCTTCCTCCTCTTGTTCCTATCCTCAAGTCTGGGGACAATACTGCTGTTTAATGGAGTAGCCAGAATCCAAGAACGCATCTCACTTAGGTCTTTACATGTTGCAGAAGAGTGGGCGTGGAGTGCAGGCCTCACCTCTAAAGAGTGACTGGGAATTCACATGAATCACTGCCCTTCCAGAAACAAACTGATAAAAGACTCACTAGGCATACACAGTCCTAAAACTGAGATTGGAGAAGATGCCACTTCTATCATGTCCCTCAGTTCTTTCATTTTTATAATGAGAGTTTACCTTGTCTCCTAATCCAGGATGACAGCAGAAGGAAATGTTGACCAAGGTTTTCTAAGATTGTATCTAAAAAGGAAATGGCTTATAAGTACAATTCACACTAGTGTTTCATTATGAAATTTTTATTTTTTAAAAAAGTAGAAGTAAAAGTTCCTCAATGGTTTCCCTTGAAACCATTGCTTTGATTTTAAATTATATAATAATAACCTCCCTTGTTCTCTTTCATTTTAAAAACTGTATTTCTTCTCTTCTTATGTTGAGTAATACTAATAAAGTATCCTGACTCAAGAATCTAAGAAAATACTTGAAATAACTAAAATAAGATCAGATCATAATATTATTAAATTTTAGGGTAGCAAATTGATCCACAGTTTATTCAAATCTTCAAACAACTACACATAAAAAAAAAGTCAGTTGGCTAAAATGGCTGATCTCATTCTTGGCTTCTGACTAAGCCTCAAAAGTTTAATAAGGAGATTCCAAGATGGGGGTGAATTGAGTGGAAGCTACACTGATACTCTCCCCCAGGACCAAACTGGAATTACAACTCAAATATAGAAAAACTGCCCTGAATAATCAATTGCAACTGAAGACAAGCTGGAGAGAACCCTCATAACCAAGGACGAAAAGTGGAGACCACATAGAGACTGGTAGGAAGTGCGAGGTGCAAGAGGCCTGTCCAGCCTCCCAGAGGCAGCCGCTGAAGTTCACGAGGGATATCTCAGCTGTGGGGGGTTCCCTCTGAGAACTCTAGGGTCTAAACACCAAGCTGGGCTCCCCCGCCCAGAGCACCAGAACTGAGAAAGGTGCCCACATAACATCTGGCACTGAAAAGCAGCAGGGTTTCTATCTGCCAGGAATAGATGGCTGCAAATGCAGGCACCCTCTTAAAGGGCCAATGCACAAAGTTTTGTGTGTAGCCACTCATCTTGGGCTCCAGCGGAGGGAGGGTGGAGTGGACTGGAGCTTAGTGGGAAGAGTTTAGGGGTGCTGGATTGGGGACAGAGCTCAGGGGGCACCCATCTGGATCCTTATGCTGAGTCATTCCCCCTTGTAGCAGGGGACATCTTTTTCAGGCAGACATTTGCCATCCAAGCAGCTTTTGCCTGGGGGGGAAGCAATTGCACCTCCCAGTTGGAAAACCTCTCACCCAACCCAGTGGAGTTTCTGCAACCTGAAGTTCATTAAGAGATTAAATAACAATCAGCCACCCCACCCTGTGGAGTTTCTACAGCCTGAGGCTCATTAAGATGTTGAATAATAAATCAGCCTCTGGGTGCTTTGAGTTTTTGCCTGATCTGCTCTTGGACCCAGGGCTTGGAAAAGTAGACCTTGGTGGGCATCTTGGTCCTTTCCAAACGCACCCAGCCCCAGCAGAGGAAACCACAAGCTGTGGAGTGCATAAAGCTTCAAACAGGGTACTCAAGGCAAGTCACACACAGCATCTTACATTGGACTGCCCCAGAGACCATCCAAAAGACTGGGAAGTCCTAGCAGATCTACCTAATACATAGAAGCAAATCTAATCAGACAGCCAAAACAGGGAGGCAAAAAAACAAGCGCCAAGTGAAAGAACAAAATAATTCTCCAGAAGAAGAACTAAATGCAAAGGATGTAAGCAATCTATTAGATATAGAGTTCAGAATATTGGTCATAAGGATGCTCAACAGCATGAGAAAAGATATGGAAACTATGAAGGAAATTAAGAATGACGTAGTAGAAATAAAAAAACACATTAGAAGGAATAAAGAGCAGATTAGGGGAAGCTGAAGATCGGACGAGTGAATTAGAGGACAGGGTAGAAAAAAATCAATCAGAGATCCAAAAAGAAAAAAACAATTAAAAAACAGGGCAGTTTAAGGGAGCTGTAGGACAACATGAAAAGTTACAATATTCACATCACAGGAGTGCCAGAAGAGGTCAAAAGTAAGCAAGGGTTAGAGAACCTTTTTGAAGAAATAATGGCAGAAAACTTCCCTAACCTGGTCAAGGAAAAAGGCACACAAGTGCAGGAGGCACAGGGAGTCCCAAGCAAGAAGAATACAAAGAGGCCCACGCCCAGACACATCATAATTAAAATGCCAAAAATTCAAGACAAAGCAACAAGAGGAAAGCAATCTGTTACCTCCAAAGGAGCTCCCATAAGGCTGACAGCTGATTTCTCATCAGAAACTCTACAGGCCAGAAGGGAATGTCATGAAGTATTCAAGGTAATGCAAAACAAGGATATGAAACCAAGAATACTTTATCCAGCAAGGCTATCATTCAAAAATAGATGGTGAAATAAAGAGCTTCCTAGACAAAAAAAGGCTAAAGGAATTTATCACCACCAAACCAGCACTGCAAGAAATTTTAAAGGGACTGCTATAATAAGAAGTTGAATAGAGAGAATGAGAAACATAGGCACAAAGAAATAAAATGGCAACATGATAAGTATCTAGCAATAATAACCTTAAAAATAAATGTAGTAAATGTCTCAATCAAAAGACATAGGATAGCTGAATGGATAAGAAAACATGACCTATAAATATACTGTCTACAAGAGACCCACCTCAGAACAAAAGACTCACACAGGCTGGAAAAAGAATACTAAAACTTCTGGAGAACTTTAAAGGGGAGATTGACAGCAATACAGTCATAGTAGGGGACTTTAACACCCCGCTGACTTTCCTGGACAGATCTTCCAGACAAAAAATCAACAAGGAAACAGTGACTCTAAATGACACACTAGATCAGACGGATTAAATTGACACAGAACATNTACTAAAACTTCTGGAGAACTTTAAAGGGGAGATTGACAGCAATACAGTCATAGTAGGGGACTTTAACACCCCGCTGACTTTCCTGGACAGATCTTCCAGACAAAAAATCAACAAGGAAACAGTGACTCTAAATGACACACTAGATCAGACGGATTAAATTGACACAGAACATTTCACCCCAAAGATAAAAATATACATTCTCCTCAAATTGCACATTGGACATTCTCAAAGACAGACCACACATCATAGGACACAAAACAAGTCTCTAAAGGTCACAAAGACTGAAATCATATCAAGCATCTTAGACATATACACCATGGAATGCTATGCAGCTGTAAAAAAGAAGGATCCCTTACCCTTTGAGACAGCATGGTGCGACCTGGAGAGTATTATGCTAAGCAAAATAAGCCAGTCAGAGAAAGACAAGTATCACATGATATTACTCATTTGTGGAATCTAATGAACAAAATAAAACAATGAACAAAATAGATCCAGAGACATAGAAGCATGGAACAGACTGATAGATCTCAGAGGGAAGGCAGTGGTGGGTGGGTGGGTAAGTGGGGAAGAGATTAACATAAGAACTTATATGCATATATGCATAACCCATGGACACAGACAATACTGTGATGAAAGCCTAGAGTGCGGGGTGCAGGGTAGAGGAGATCAATGGGGGGAAAAAAGGGACATTTGTAATACTTTCAACAATAAAGATAAATTAAAACATTTAAAAAAGTTTAATAAGGGCATCTATTGAGATTTCTTTAATGTCAGTTGCTCTATTAAAAATTTTGCATGTATTATCCATTTAATCTTCACAATTCCAAGTAATTATTATTATTATTATTATTATTATTATTATTATTATTGTTTGTTATTGTTATCCTCATTTTACAGATGAGGAAACAGGGCATAGAGAAGTTGAGTAACTTGCCCGAGATCACTCATCTAGTACATTGGGAGCTAGAGCTGAACCCCAGACAGTCTGGATCCAATGCCCATGGGATCACCACACCATGAGTGGTATTCTCTGCTACAGCCATTCAGTGGGCTTCTCCTTCTCCAAGTCAGGTTCATTGCTACTGTTCCCAAACACAATTCAAACTCACATCTCTCATCATTTTTACTGCTTCCCTGGTCCTCCCAAGTCTTCTGGCACACATTGCTAGCCTTCTTTTGATGTAAACCAAGACGTTGGTGTCTCGTCCTGAAAAGGAAGATATAGAAGACCAAAATTAAAAAACAAAAGCTTTCAGCTGATCAGCAAGAAGAAATACAGAGGTCCATCTGCCATGTCCTTAAAGTAAAACCTCAGAGAGAACAGACTATTCCTCAGTTTTTCCTTACTTCCAGGAACACTCACAACTTAAAGTTGTTAGACTTCCAAAGATCAAATCATGTGACTAATTCTCTAATTCATGCTTTTGAGTTAGGATGTTGAATATTTGATAAATAAAATCATATGCCACAAAGTGCTGGGAAAACGAACATACCCACATTGCATCTGGTTTACAAGCAAAAATTCCACATTCTTCAAGTGTGCATGCTTTTGGTGAAGATGCAAGAGGTGAATCTCAGGTTGCATCCTGAAGAACTATTTTTTTTCCTTCTTGACATTCAGTCTGGAGAAGCCTCATCTTGAACTTCTGTTTTATATTATTCTTTCCCAAACATTAGTGACATCATAATCACCTCCAGGTCCCCAAAGCAGTCGATTTTAGATAGCAATGTAATACATTCCAGATATGACAATAGAGTAAGCAAAAAAATGAAAACTACCCTAGTGTTAGAGAAAGCACTGACAAGCTAAATAGTTATAATAATAGTCACCAAAATGGCTCTTAAAAAGTACATTAACAACTTCTTATCTTAATCTTTTATTTAATTATATGTCCTTTTGGATATGTTTCTAAACCAGTGAGAACATGCGTGTGTTTAATCCTCAATAAAAATACTATGTTTGAGAAAAATATGACACACCTGTTATAGATTAAATAGATGTATAATATGCAGCTATTAAAAGTTAAGACTAAAGTCCTAACTTCTCAAGTTTTAAACAATGAGAACAAGATGTATGCTGAAAATCTGTCAAGTACCTATAAATTATTTTAGAGATGTGATTATATTTTTTGGATATATTTAGTTAATAGGTTGAAAGGATTTAGTTTTCAAAAGAAATAAAGAAAATTTCTTAAGTTATTTTATAGATATGTAATTTTATGTATTAATTTTCATTTAGTTCACAAAATAGACATTTACTAGTATCTCTTCAAAATTTGTTATACATACTTTTTAAAAGCAAGGTACATTTGATGATTAGAGACTTGATTTACACATACTTGCTGCAAAGTGATAATAAAAACCTGTGTATTAATGGGTTGTGTAGACATACTCATGTATACACAGGTCATAATGAAAAGATTTTGCTGCACCTTAGTCACAAGGAATACTGCACTCAGTCTCTGCACCAAATACAAGCGTAACACTAAAATTAAATTTTATAATCTCAAATATGATGGGGATACACTCTTACTCTCCAAGTGGCAGGAGGGAGAAATAGATATATGAAACTGATAAATAGATATATGAAAAAATTCTGGGAAGAAAGAAAGGTCACCACTAAAGGTTATTATCATTTATTTTTGGAATTAGGAATCTATGGGCAGAAAAGAGAACCTGAACATTAATTTGAACAGTAATGAAGCTAAAGTTAATTATGTATTGTACTCTTATGGGAAGAAAAAAACAAGAACAAAGAAAAGCAAAAGCCAGTATTTATTCCCACCTAGGAGAATCATAGTTTGAACTTGCCTGAAAATTTGCTCTGATTAATCATTTTACAATTCTGACCCCCAACACCTCAACCTGGAGGAAACCTTACTATGTTGGGCTTCATACTGGGATCCATGATGTTGTAGCTGCTGAGAACGCCGGTAACAGCCATCTCCAGCCTTCAGGGCCTGTTTAAACAGCTTTTCTGCTTCGGCAATAGTTGTTGCTTCCTCTTCAGCCAAGAGAATATAAGCAGTTGCACACCTGTCCATTCAGATAATAGCCACCATCAATTACAAATTCAAGGACGTTGTAACAGCTGTAGGAGTGCATGCAGAAGGGCAAGGCGTTAACACCAAAACATGCAGAGTGGCCAACTGGTTCATGCACCCATTTGTAGTTGTTGACACAAAGTAATGATACAAAAGAAATGTTTGTATTTTAGCTTGAGAGATAGTATGCATAGTGTTAGGAACATGGGGATCACAAGTGGGCTCTGTCCCTTATTAGTGTGTCACTTTGGGCAAGTTATTACTCTGCCTCCCTCATGGAGAACAACATGGAATCAATTTGTTCACAGTGTTGTGAAGGTTAAGTAAGGTGATGCATGTAAAGTGCTCAGTACAGTAGCCGGCATGTGGTACATGCTCAATAAATGTCAACTAATGATGGTGATAATAATAGCTATTATTAAATATCTCCTTCCAACACTCAAAGTTAGAGGTACTATATGTAAGTTTACTTCTGTTTACTAAATATAGAGTCTCTATTCTCAAACATAGATTCAGTAAATTAAGTAAGTTACTCATTGAAAGTAACAGTGCTTCAACACCTTATTACAGTTAGCACTGATTTTCTACATCAGAGAGGAACACTAGATCCTTCAGGCACTGTTATTTCTGAAGAGCTCAAAATCTGATTTAGCCTCAGTAGCAAACAAGAGTTAAACCTCATGCCTTTAACAATAATAGCTACCACTTATTGCTTAGCATATATTAAGCACTGTACCAGGCACTTAACATATATCGTCTCACTTAATACTTTCAACAACCCCCTAAGGTAGGAAGCCAGAAAGGATAAGCAGTTAACTAATGAACAAGGGGAACTTTTGGAAATTTAAACCTTCCAAATCATATAAGAACAACTCAACCACCAAAGAAAGGGAATGTAATAGAGAAATGCTGAGGCTAGAGCAGACTACGCAGGTCCTCATCTGCACAGATCCCTTCGGTTTCCTTCTTCTCCACTGTCTCTCTTGTGGTCATTTCCCTACTTAACAGAACCTCCATCAGACCACAAGAGAGAAAATAATTAAAGTAAAACCAAATGCTACTTCTACTATTCATAAACTGCAATGGCAGGTAGGAAAAGGAGGCTGAACTTACGACTAATGTGAGGTTTTAGGTTACTAGTTAATCTTAGCCTTGAGGAAGGGTCTTGTAAGTTCTTTAGCCGGTCCCTAACAGTTTCAGGCAGGTCTGATCAATGGAGCTTCAACTGAATGTGGTGAGGTAGGGAGGAAAATGCCCAGAAAAAAAGCTGTAAACCAATTACTATGGAGGGCAGTAGCTAAAACTTGGAAAGAACAATAATGATGCTGAAACTGCCCAGTAATTCACTAGAGAAAATAACTGGAATAGGCATCAGGAAGCAATATTTAAGGCTTCAGATACCAACATATAAATATGGGTCAAGGGTAATGAAGTGAAAATCAAGATAATAGCACTGAGTAGTAGAGACAGTATATGAGAAATTAGCTATAAGATTATAGTTGGTGGACTGGAAACTCAAGACAGGTTGGGGCCAGCTTGTTTGCTTTATTCATTTATATTACAAATAGTATACCTTAGGAGGAGAGGCAGAGTAGCACTACTGGGTAAGAAAACATACATCTATGTGAAAATTCATGAGTTTGGGGTAGAAACATGCTAAGAGCTTGTGAGTGAAGGAGAAAAGAAAGAGCAATAGAAGGGCTAATGGTTGGGGAATACAGAACAGACTGCTCAGCAGCTCGATGGAAGATACAGATGATGCATCCTTTTCACAACACAATACACATACAGAAGCAAGAAAGTGTGGTGATGGGGTGTTGACCATCCAGATTATCTGATAGAAGTCTTATTTGGTTACAAGTAGGGCACCCAAAAGGTTCTTGACTTACTTTGGTAACAATTTTATCTCCCAGATGGTAGAGGAAGCAATTAGGGGAACTTCAACTCTGGACCTAATTCTGACCAAGAAGAAAAAAATAGTTGGTGAAATGAAAATCGATAGGAACATTCAGAGAGAGTTACTATGTCATTTTGGAGTTCAGGATAATCAAAAAGGATAAGGCGCACTTCAAAAAATTCAAAGAAAAGAGGCATGATTCAATGGCATGAGACTCAGAAGGAAATGGTTTAAGAAGGTTGGGTAGCATCCAAATGTCCAACTGTAACTGCAATCACTATCATCCTCTCGGGAAGAAAAGAGGGGTGACAATTAAGTAACCAATATGGCTGCACAGAGATCTCTCACAAGGTCAGATTTTTAAAGGGCATGTAAAAAAGACAGAAAGAGGGCATGTAATGAAGGACTATAAAAGAGTGAAATGAGCTTATAAGAATAATGTCAGGAGAGCTAAAACTCCAAATTAGCTTAAGCTTACAAACAAAACAAAAAATGCCAGAAGCAACTATCTATTCCCAGTTTTTAAATTATATTTAAGGCCCTATCACCACCCCTATTTCTCCAGAATCATCACAAAAATAAATAAGCAAAAAAGACAAATAACACAACAACAAGAAAAGTTTATAGTTAGTAGGAGCAGATAAAGAGAAAGCAATACTCTCTAATTCCTACTTTGTTCCTGGCTTCTCGATCAAGGAGAATGATTATCTGACTGAAAAAGGGATAAGAAATTAAACTCTAAAATGGGTAAAAAGATGTAAGACAGCAAATAATTAGTCTATCCTAAATGAACTACTATTCTGGGATGGGCAAATCCCAGGAAGCCAACAAACATAGGTAGGCCAAAGAATTGCTCTCTGTGGATAGTTAAGGACTCACAAAGAATGGAGAGGTACTAGAAGATGAGGTGACAAATGTGATATAAATGTTCAAAAAGGGGAAGAAGGTGGAATTCCCAAACTATAGAACAGTGATTTGGAAAGATATTCTAATGGATTATTAAGGGGATAGTTGCCAAGCATTTTTTTTAAAAGTAAACACTGGAGCTAACTTAAATTCACTAAGACTAAACAAATCAATTTGTGCTAGCTTAATTTACTCTAATAGATTTACTATCCATTAAAGATCCATAGCTACAACTGGCATTCTTAAAATCGAAACAGAGGAATATGGGTTGAATCATGGTATAACTGGTGGCTTAGTAATTGAGCAATACCAAAAGATGATGATTCATGAAGACATGAACCTGGAGGGTGGTTTCTATATGTCAAGTCACAGGGATCTATCCCTGACCCTGATACTTTTATCAGGAAATGGATGACACACAGAAGGAAGGCACATCAATTTGGAAGATGACAAAAGACCGGAAAATAAATATGCTGCATGAGAGAATCAGAAACCACATAGGTCAACAGGTAAATAACGGCAGGATTTCCAACTCTCAAGTGAATATTTTTTCTAAGACCACTGAAGAAGATTCTGAAGCCTTCTTCAGGAAAAAAAATCATAAAATAGTTTAACAATGACCACTTGGCAGGGAGTGTCGAGGTGATTCAAGCACCAGATGGGTGGCTGAGCTAAATGACCTTTAAGGTCTCTGCCAACTCTGGGCTTTTATGACTCCAACTTCAAGAATCTTTCCCATTTTCTGAGATCTCCAGAAGAGGTTTCCCAGTCTTCCTTGGTAACCCATAGAATGTTTAACAACACTAAATATAGCATTTCCTCTTATCTTTGCCTTGATCTTAAAATATTTTTAAAGTGCAATTTTTTCACCTTAGGTTTTTATTATGTTTTCCCCACTAGCAGAAGATCTATCTAGAAAATGTGATGGCACAGATGAGCATTCTACATCTGTAAAAATTTCCTTGTCAAAATGCTTTAGATATGTAAAGAATATTATTTACCTTCACAAAAAGTTTTTTTATAAACTAATGACCCCCCAAAATAATCCTCAAGTTCAAATGCATAGTTTAATATCAGTATCCCATCAATAGCAACTGACTACATTCAGCAAAGAATAAGATTTCCTTTTTAAAAGCAGGATTTTCCCTCACTTACTCATTTATCTCTAAGGCTTCATGGGCTGCAGAAATCCTAGCTTGGGGGTTTCTCTCTCTCCAGGCTTTCTGCATTACTATTTTAGAAAAAGAGAAAAAAAGCAAGTCAATCAATACACATGATTAGGAAGACTCAGTACAGGACAAAGCCTGAATCAGTAGCTTTAGGCTTGGATTACAACGGAATATTTCACTACCAAGAGGCTCAGCCCAAACCTCCAAAGTCACACAAATACATTCTAACTTGCCATTCTACTGCCCTTCAATTGCTGATATCAAAATTTTCTTATGCTCACAAAACAACAGATCTAAATCTTATAGACTAATTTGTAGTCTATAATCTTAGAGACGATCTTTTTTTAAATATATATATTTTTTATTGATTTCAGACAGAGGAAGGGAGAGGGAGAGAGAGACAGAAACATCAATGATGAGAGAGTCATTGATCAGCTGCCTCCTGCATGTCTCCGACTGGGGATCAAGCCTGCAATCCCGGCATGTGCCCTGACTGGGAATTGAACCGCGATTTCTTGGGTCCTAGGTCAACGCTCAACCGCTAAGCCATGGGTTGAGACAATCTTAATCAAGAAGAGGCACTCTAACAGACATTTAATATTTCTTTTGCTCATTAATGTTGTTTGTTGTTAAAGAATATATATTACTGTATACATTTTGATGACATTGCTACTAATCTTTTCCTTTTACACAGATACAACATAATTTTTATTGGTCATTTCCCCAAACACCTGCTATAGGCTCTGGGTATTAGAACATTTTTAAACCATTTGAAGAATTATCAGTTGGGTCAGAAGAAAGTACAGTAGGTTTTTACTTAACATGTGTACCTGTTTCCGGCGTCTGCTGTAAACCTAGTTTTCATACACTAGAGTAGTTTGTATATTGTGGAAAGCTCAATGCTTGAAATATGTTCTACCATGGCAAAGAGAACCTTTTTAAAAAGAGTAACAATCTCCTTATTGAATTTGTTCTATAAATTTGTTATCTTCTAAGTTACTTTCTTAGAAGCACGTATGTATTCCTTTTTTAAGATTTTTTTCACCTATTTAAGTTTAGTAAAATCAAAAATGCCAGTAGGATTATTTATAACTCAAGCAGTGTCAAATGCATGCTCAACAAAGGCTTTTCTAGGATGGAAAACAAATATGGATTCCAACAACCAAGGCCATGCCCCCATTCAATTCCAATGAACAATAAATAGATGCATAAATCACTATAATATACTCTTTAATCATTTGGATTCACTGAATCCCAATTTCTAACTAGAATATCATTAAGGAAACATGACCCTTTACCAGCTGGCATGGCTCAGAGGTTGAGCATCGACCTATAATTCAGAAGATTCCCGGTTGGGGCACATGCCCAGGTTAAGGGCTCAAACCCCAGTAGGGGGCGTGCAAGAGGCAGCCGATCAATGACTCTCTCATCATTGATGTTTCTATCTCTCTCCCTCTCCCCTCTTCCTCTCTCTGAAACAAATTAAAAAAAAAAAAATGAAAGGAAACATGACCCTTCATTCTATCTCAACCAAGGCTTTAATTAGCTTCATATAAGATTTATATGTATATAAAAAAATATAAATCAAACTTGGGAATTTCTTTAAATAATATTTTAAATTATAACAAGGGGACTTATTTCTACATCACTATTTCATTGTGACAAAGCCTTTATTTAGGCCTCAGAATTCTGGGTTCCACAGGTCAATCTCCAATTTACTTTTTGTTGGTGCTTTTTAAATTAAATATTTTTTTCAATTTTTTAATTATGTTGACATACTTTATTATATTAGTTTCAGGTGAACACCCCAGTGATTAGACATTAAATAATTTACTAAGTGATTATCCCGATAAATGTCGAATCCACCTGACATCATACATAGCTATTAGAATATCATTGACTATATCCCTATGCTGTATTTTACATCCCCATGACTATTCTTTAACAACCAATTTGTACTTCTTAATCCCTTCACTTTCTTCACACACACACACACACACCATCCCACCCCCTCAACCTCCTCCCACCTGGCAACTGTCAAAATGTTCTCTATCTATGAGTCTGTTTCTGTTCTGCTTGTTTGTTTATTTTGTTTTTTAGATTCAGTTGCTGATATGTATTTATTGCCATTTTATTGTTGATATTTTTTATCTTTTTTTTCCTTCCTCTTATTCTTTTTTTTCTTAATCCTCACCGTAGGATATGATTTTAATGATTTTTTTAGAGAGCGAGGAAGGGAGAGGAAGAGAGGGGGAGAGAGAGAAACATCAATTGGTTGCCTCCCATAAGCACCATGACTGGGGATGGAAGAGAGATTAAACTCAAAACCTGAGTGTGTGCCCTAACCAGGAATTGAACCCATGAACCTTCGGTGCACAGCACAATGTTCCAATCAACTGAGCCACAAGGGCCTGGGTTTCTTCTTCTTCTTAAAGAAGACACTTTAAATTCACATAATGAACTCCTTTAACTTTTTCTTATCTGGGAAGCTCTTTATCTGTCCTTCAATTCTAAATGGTAGCTTTGCTGGGTAAAGTAATCTCGGTTTTAAGTCCTGGCTTTTCATCATTTTAAATATTTCTTGCCAATCCCTTCTGGCCTGCAAGGTTTCTGTTAAGAAATCACCTGACATTCTTATGGGAGCTCCCTTGTAGGTAATTAATTGCTTTCCTCTTGCTCTTTTTCAGATTCACTCTCTGTCTTAACCCTTTTGCATTTTAATTATGTGTCTTGCTGTGGGCCTTCTTGGGTTCACCCTGTTTTGGACTCCGAACTTCCTGGGCTTGTAAGTCTACTTCCCTAACCAAGTTCGGGAAGTTTTCTGTCATTCTTTTTTCTTTTTTTTTCTTTTTCTCCATTGATCCCCTCCATCCAACATCCACTCCCCCCAAAGCCTTCACCACTTTTGTCTGTGTCCATGGGTTATGCATATATGCATATAAGTTCTTTGATTAATCTCTCCCCACCCACTCCCCCAAGATTGTGATTTCAATCTTCTTGAACTTGTAGACACTTGTTTTGTGCCCTAACATGTAGTCTACCTTTGAGCATGACCCATGTGCACTTATCCTTATTGTTGAAAGTATTACAGATATCCTCCCTTTTTTCCCCATTGATCCCCGCCCCCCAACATCCACTCCCCCCAGGCTTTCACCACTTTTGTCTTTGTCCATGGGTTATGCATATATGCATATAAGTTCTTTGATTAATCTCTTCCCACCCACTCCCCCACCTACCCCTTCCCATTGATGTTCATCAGTCTGTTCCGTGTTTCTGTGTCACTGGATCTATTTTGTTCCTCAGTCAATTTTGTTTATTAGATTCCACATATGAGTGGGACCATGTAAAACTGAATCAGGAAGAATCAGAAAACATGAATAGGCTAACAACAACTGATGAAATCAAAGCAGCAATAAAAAAACTCGCAGCAAACAAAATTCCTGGTCTGGATGGCCTCAGAGGAGAGCTTTCTAATTCCTTAAGTTGTAGGGTTAGATAGTTTATAAAAATTTTTCTTACTCTTTGAGGTAGGCCTGCAGTGCTATGAACTTCCCTCTTAGGACTGCTTTTGCTGTGTCCCACAGATTTTGGGTTGTTACGTGATCATTTTCATCTGTTTCCAAGAAGCTTTTCATTTCTTTCTTGATCTTATTGGTAACCCATTTATTGTTTAAAACCATGGTATTGAGCCTCCATGTGTTTGAATGTTCTTGAGTGTTTTTACTGTAGTTGATTTCTAATTTCATGCCTCTGTGATCTGAGATGCTCGATGTGATTTCAATCTTCTTGAACTTGCAGAGACTTGTTTTGTGTCCTAACATATGGTCTACCTTTGAGCATGACCCATGTGCACTTGAGAGGAATGTATATTCTGCAGCTCTGGGGTGAATTGTTCGGTAAATATCAATTAAATCCATCTGATCTAGTGTGCCATTTAGAGTCACTGTTTCTTTGTTGACTTTTTGTCTGGAAGATCTATCAAGTGAATTCAGTGGGGTGTTAAAGTTCCCAACTATGACTGTAATGCTGTTGAACTGTCCCTTAAAGTCCTTAAGGTTATTGATAGGTCCTTACTTATTGCCATTTTAATTCTTTATGCCTATGTTTTGTTCTCTATCTCTTCTTATTACAGCAGTCCCGTTAACATTTCCTGCAGTGCTGGTTTGATAGTGATAAACTGCTTTAGCCTTTTATTGTCTGGAAAGCTCTTTATTTCACCATCTATTTTGAATAGCCTTGCTGGATAGAGTAGTCCTGGTTTCAGATCCTTGTTTTGCATTACCTTGAATACTTCATGACATTCCCTTCTGGCCTGTAGAGTTTCTGATGAGAAGTCAGCTGACAGCCTTACGGGGACTCCTTTGTAGGTAACAGATTGCTTTTCTCTAGTTGCCTTTAATATTATGTGTCTTGAATTTTTGGCATTTTAATTATGATGTGTCTGGTAATGGGCCTCTTTGGATTCTTCTTGCTTGGGACTCTCTGTGCCTCCTGAACTTGTGTGACTTCTTCCTTTACCAGGTTAGGGAAGTTTTCTGCCATTATTTCTTCAAACAGGTTCTCTAACCCTTGCTTACTTTCAACCTCCCTTGGCACTCCTATGAAGCGAATATTGTTACATTTCATGTTTTCCCACAGCTCCCTTAGACTGCCCTCCTGTTTTGTATTTGTTTTTCCTTTTTGGATCTCTGATTGAGTGATTTTTTTCTACCCTGTCTTCTAATTCAGTGATCCAATCCTCAGCTTCCTCTAATCTGCTCTTCAATCCTTCCAATGTATTCTTTATTTCTGCTATGCTATTCTTCATTTCTGGCTGGTCATTTTTCAGAGTTTTCATATCTTTTTTCATGCTGTTGAGCATCCTAACAATCAATTCTGTATCTGAGACTACTTACCTCCATTTCAATTAGCTCTTTTTCTGGGGACTTCTCTTGTTCTTTCATTTGGGGCTTGTTTTTTGGTCTCCCCATTTCAGCTGCCTATTTGAGTTTGTTTCTATGTATTAAGTAGGCCTGCTAGGACTCTCAGTCTTTTTGGAAGGTCTCTGGTGCAGGCCAATATCAGACACTGTTTATGACTGGCCTTGAGTACCCTGTTTGGAGCTATCAACAACCTTAGGCTTGAGGTCCCCTCTGTTGGGGCTGGGTGTGTTTGTACCGGAACAAGATGCACACCAAAGTCTGCTTTTCCAAGCCCTGGTTCCAGAAGCAGATCAGGCAAAGAATCAAAGCACTCTGAAGTCTCCCTCTGCCTGCAGGCTGATTAATCTGATTATCTTAATGAGCCCCAGGCTGTACAAACTACAGGAGGTAGGACAAAAGGTGTTCCACCAGGGTGGGGCAATTGCTTCCTCCTCAAGCAAAAGCTGCTTGGAAGGTAAATGTTTGCCTCTGCAGTATGGGGGAATGACTAGGCACAGGAATCCTGAGGGGAGCCCTCTGAGCTATGTCTCCAGAGCTCACAACCCTAGGTCCTCCTCACACAGCTCCAGTACACTCTGCCCTCCCTCTGCTGGAGCCCAAGGTGAGTGACTGCACACAAAACTTTGTGCATTGGCTCTTTAAGAGAGTGTCTGCAGTTCCAGCTGTTTCTCCTTGGCAGCCAGAAACCCTGCTACCTTTCCCAGCCAGATGTTATGTGGGCACCTTTCTCAGTTCTGGTGCTCTTGGCTGGAAGCCCAGGCTGGGGTTAGGCCCCAGAGTCCTCAGTGGGAACCCCCCCACAGCGGAAGTATCCCTCAGGAACTTCAGCTACTGCCTGTAGGAGCCCACAAGCCTTCCTGTGCCTCTGCACTTCCTGTCAGTCTCTATGCAGTCTCCACTTTTCCTCCTTGGCTATGAGGGTGCTCTCCAGCTCGTTTTCAGTTGCAGCTGATTATTCAGGATGGTTTTTCTATATTTTAGCTGTAATTCCAGTTGTAATTCCAGTCCCGAGAGAGTGTCAGTGTGTCATTATTTTTTCAAGTAGGTTTTCAATTTCTTGCTCTCTCTCTTCTCCTTCCAGGACCCCCATGATATGAATGTTATAATCCTTGAAGCTGTCCCAGAGGCTCCTTACACTTTTCTAGTTTTTGGATTCTATTTTCTTTTTGCTGTTCTGATTGGGTGTCTTTTGATTCTGTATCTTCCAAATATCTGATTTGATCATTGGCTTTACCTACCCCACTGTTGATTCCCTGTAATTTATTCTTCATCTCAGTTAGTGTAGTCTTCATTTTTGACTGGTTCTTTTTTATGTTTTCTATCTCAGTTGTTACATTTCCTATTCCTTGCTGAAGTTCTCACTAAGTGCATCTGCTTTTCCCCTAAGTTCATTGAGCATCCTTATAATCAGTGTTTTGAACTCTGTATCTAGTAGATTGCTTGTCTCCATCCTGTTTAGTTCTTTTTCTGGAATTTTGTTCTATTCTTTCATTTGAGACATGTGTTCTTTGTCTCATGTTGGCAGCCTCCCTGTGTTTATTTCTATGTATTAGGTAGAGCTGCTCCATCTCCCAGGCTTGGTAGAGTGGCCTAATATAGTAGATGTTCTATAGGGTTCAGTGGCACCAACTCCGTGATCACTCAAGCTGGGTACTTGAGGTGTGCCCCCCATGTGGGCTGTGTACACCCTCCTCTTGTAGCTGAGCCTTGATTGCTGTTCACTTGTCAATGGGAGGGATTTACCCCCAGGATGATCAGCTGCAAGGACTGTCTGCAACCACCAACCTGTGAGAACTGTGCAGGGTCCCACTCCACAGAGCAGGACTTCCTTCAGCAAGTTCTGGTGCCTGCTAAGTCCACCCCTTGTATGTGTCACATGTGTAGGTAGTTGGGTGGTGGTATACTTCAGCATGGTCTGAAGCTGTCCACTGGGGCCTTCTGGGAGGTGCAGGCCAAGATCAGCTTCTTCCTGTGTTCTGCTGGGGGCCACTCGGCATGAGCTACAAAGGGATCTGCAGATGGCTGCTACTTGTGCTGGGGTTAGGTGCCCCAGTGAGGCCAAGCTGTGAACCAAGGCTGGCTGCTGCTAGTGCCGGGCCCTGGACCACTTAGCAAGAGGTATGGGGCTCACTGAGGTCAGATGCTGCTTGTTTGAGAGATTTTAGGAAAATCTCATGCATGAACCAAGATAGACCATTATTATGGAAAAGCCACTGGAAACAGCTTGGGTGTTCCTGAAAGTTGGGTGGGGTGGGGCTTCAGGGAATCACCAGGGTGGGACAAACTGTGAGCCAGGTTGATGGAGTCTCAGATATGGCACCCACCTGCTGGTCTGTGGGCAAAGTGCTCAGAAAATTAGCAACGGCCTCTGTTAGCACTTCTGCCTGGGAGAAAGCTGCTCTCCACCCACAGCTCTCACCTCAGTGCCAGACAATTCAGATCTTCCCCGTATGTGACTGGTGCCTTGCAAGCTATTGCCCCAACACTGGAGCTCAGTGGAAGTCTGAGTAAGTCCATGCATGGGCCCTTTAAGAGGAACTTCCTGGGGCTCCAGCAGCCCTCTGTCTCCCTCAGCTTCAATCCCCACTGGTTTTTACAGCCAGAAGTTATGGGGACTTCTCTTCTCAGCACTGGAACCCTGGGCTGGGAGACCTGGTGTGGGGCTGAGACCCCTGCCTCCTCCGGGGGACCTCTGCAGCTGACATATCCCTCCCAATCTGCCACACATGGGTATGGGACTAGCCCTTTGGCATCCATGCCCCTCCTCCCAGTCTCAATGTGTCTTCTTCTTTAAATCCCTAGTTGTAGGACTTCCATTCAGCCAGATTTCAGGTCATTCTGAATGATGAGTTTTTCTGGAGTTTTGTTGTAATTTTGATGTGATTGTGGGAGGATGCAGTACCTCACTTAACAATGCAGCCATTTTGACTGGAATTCCACATCCCTTGGGGTTTTTATTTATTCCATTTTAATTAATTAATTAATTTATTTCTTTTTAATCCTCACCCAAAGATGTTTTTTTAATTGCTTTTTCAGAGAGAGAGGGGAAGAGAGAGAAAGAGAAACATTGATGTGAGAGAGGCACATCAATTGGTTGCCTCCCGCACGTGCCTCAACAGGGGCCGGGGATCGATCCCTTGGCTAGAATCGAACCCTGGACCCTTCAGTTCGTTGGCCGACGCTCTAACCACTGAGCAAACCCGGCTAGGGCTTCTTGGGGTTTTTATAGAGCCATATTCTAAAAGTAATAAACTTACTACTTAAAACAGATCAAAAAGCCCTCTCATTCACAGCAACTAAAGGATTTTCCGTACTTGCATCTGCAGGACGAAGATGGTCTGAGTCACAAGTAAAGAATGTCTGATGGTCCTGGGCAGAGAGATTCATGTCATAATAAGTCAGAGGTTCTCGTCCTGTCACCCAAGTATACCTGTAAAGGGGAAATAAGATGGTCTTACGCCTTTGAGAGAGGAAAGCATGACCTACAAAATATTAAGCTGCATAGGAATTGAAATATAAACCATTAACTTCATACTAAAACAGCTTTGCCAATGAATAAAAAAATACATATATTTTTAATCATCTTATTCTTCCTTTAAGAAATATATCAGCAGAAAAGAAATAAACATTTTCCCATATATTTGTAGGTTAAAATTTTACTAGCACTAGCTAGTGAAAATTTTCCCTAATTAGTATTATAAACAGACACTTCCCCAAAGCTATGACAATTCTGGTTTGGCTAATTACTCTGCAAAATTAAATTTCAACATAACTTCTGTGGCATCTTCACAACCATATTCCAAGTATGTGTCAAAATTTTTGACTGTATAATATATAATGAAAAGAATAACTATAATAGAAAGTTTCCAAAAACTATATATTTTTTACATTATCCCAATCTCAATGCTAAAATGTTTATAAAACAGAAAAATCAAAACATTTGAGGGTCATATCAAAGAACAGAAGCACTAAACAGACTCTCACAATGACTAGTAAATGAACAAGCAAAAACATTTGCTGCTGTCTTTGCTCTCTAAACTATTCATTTGTTTCCCAAGTTGTCAAAATGCTTACCGATTATATTCAGCGCCCCGAAATAAATTTAGTGGATTTCGCCATACTTTGCATTCTGCAATGAAGAGAAATATGAAAATGTTACACATAGTTCAGAAACACTACAGCTACAAGCTAATTAATTCAGCAAAACACCCTTCCTGGCCATTTGATAAGATAATTTTATTCTCTATTTTCTTCTTGGGAAGCAATGTGGAAGAACTCTGGTGATTAATCAGGAAATGTAGCTCAGGCACCACGACTTTGGAAAACTTCACCTCATCTCTCTGGGCCCAAATTTCTTCATTTATTAAATCAAGGTATGTGCCAAAATCAGCTGGTTTATAACTTCTACAATCATTTTAAGAGGTCTAAACAGATTCTATAAGTTTATTTCTAAAGTTATAAGTAGAAGATATAGCTAGAAGTAAGACTACCTCCTGTTCTCTAAAATAATAACTTTATATACGACAAGCTAAACTGAAGTTCTACGGTATAACATACAAAGAGCCTTAGATTTTTTAATTAGGGTCTATGTTAATATTGATTTTGTGATAATTCACCAAATTGCTTTTACACTGCAGTAAAGGAATGATAGAAAAATTAATACAGCTAGCATTATTATAGGGAGAAATGCTATGAAATTAAATTGTTTTAAAGCATTTAACATTGCTTACCTATGCAGATTCACACATTAATCATCATACTAATATCATAATGTTAGCATGCACTAATAGATTATACATCTTAGTTATACAAGAGCCATAAAAAATTAGAACCACAGGACTTTAACATAGAAAAGTCAATCATTGCCTGGCCGGGCTTGGCTCAGCAGTTGAGTGTCAACCTGGGATCCAGGTTCAATTCCTGGTCAGGGCTCATGCCCGGGCTGCAGGCTCGATCAATGACTCATCATTGATGTTTCTATCTCTCTCTCTCCCTCTCCTTTCCTCTCTATGAAATCAATAAAGATATTTTTTTTTTTAAAAGTCAATCATTAGCTTTTAGGACTATATAATATTAAGTATATGACTAACAAGCTACCATTCTTTTAAGACAGCCTATGATTAAGACTTTCTACTGATTCAGAATACCACATTTCTTTGGATGAACAATGTTTTATTAGAAAGTAAAATTAGTTAACACTACTTAAAACATCCGTGTGTGTGTGTGTGTGTGTGTGTGGTCAGCCAAAAAATACACCTAAAGATATACACACATAAAAGTGAGCAATTACTGTAGAAATCAAAGGAACATTAAAGGCCATGGGTGGGACATTAATATTCTACCCTCAGTCCTGTTATATTCAATATTCATTTTTTCATGCACCCATCCATCCAGTGAGCACTGAGCAACCAGTGGGGGAAACAAACAGGTAAACCATTATTACAATACAGTGTGAAAATGAAGAACATGAAGCATTATGGGAATGTTGAGTAATCGCAATAAACTGTTATTAAAAGTACAGAATGAAGAGTGTACACATAACAAGAAGATATGTTTTTATTTAAAAGAGAAATTTATCTTTAAATTAGGACAGGATTTCACTTAAAATTTGCTCAATGTTTATAAACAATGGCCCTAAAGTTAGCTTAACTTGTCATTTAGGAAATGATCTTTGCTCAGTTTAGAATCTTTGAATTTTATTCTTAAGAAACTGAAATTCAGTGGCTGTCACTCATAAGGCACTAATTAAAAAATTATGCTTCCCTTAAATAATTACTTTTTCCCCAAACAAAAAGCCCCTAAGAGGTGTCATTCATGCACTCTAGGTCATGGCTTGAACCACACTGGTGAGCCAACCAACCATGATCGCTGTCCTTGTGGCTATTATAACTCTTAGGTTCTTACCACTCCCAACCCCTCCTCAGAGGATGTCTTTCAAGATTCAAAGTACTCTTCTTAAAACTTTATTATAAATATTGCAAGCTTTGTAGTTAGCATACAATAAACATGCACACAGGTTTATGCACAAAGATGCTCATGGTGTCATTATTTATAATAAAACAGATACATTTGGGGAGATACCTCTCTCTCACTGAATTTCATCTGAAATATTAGTTAAACAGTTATGGCAAATCATTTGTCTCCAGCAAATATATCATTATATTGCCTGGAAGGATAAGCACTATTCAAATATCAATTGACAAATTACAAAGCAAACTGCCTTCAAGTAAACTTTCAATACAACTTTATATATTGTATGCAAATAAAATTATTTCTAAATAAAAATAATTCCATAGAGAAATAGTGTGTATACATACCTAAAGTATTATGAGCAGTAGCTGAAGATGCTATCCTTATTTAGGAAGTGCCACAAGGTAGCCAGCAGGGGGTGCTAGAAACATTTTGAAATTCCTACTTCTATTAGGGAACTGAACTTTATAAAAAAAAAAAAAAAAAAGGAATAATACAATTTACCAAAACCAGGCCTTGGGAGAGGTAGACAGGCATAGTCTTCACCTTTCATAAAAAAGGACTCAACAATGTAATTTAAACTTAAACATAGTAGTAAAAAAATCAAACCAAAAAAAATCATTGTTAACATTAGTATCACACATGGTCTGTAGTTAGTTTTTTCAACTACCCCTGAACCTTAAAAATTAGGATCTAAATAACTGTAAAAAATGTAAAATGTTCTGAGTGATTAAAAAAACGTGATGAAATACATAACAAAATGTCTTCATTAGCTACATCATTCAAATTGAGGGTGCAGGGAAGGTATAATTTTCCTTTAAGAATAAGCAATCTAGAGGTCAAATATGAATACATGTCAAAGTTTCACTTCAAAATAGATCACAGCTACATTAATTTCTTCTTTGCTACTCTGTTTCATCATCTTATCTTTACCACAAAAACTTTAGTTTGGAATCACTCTAACCCATAAATATCAGATTGCCTGATGGTTTCATGATATGGACAAAGGTTGAAAATGCCAGACATATTAGAATATGAAGATTTAAGTCAAAAATTAAATTCAGATCTCCAGAGGATAAAAGCGTTTTTCCACATGAGGTCAAGTCTCTTATTTGTGCCTGTGAGAAATAAATTCCTTATTTAAGACAGAATTAAAAGTTTATCTCCAAAAGGAATTTTCCATTCTCCATTAATATCAACAATTTCAATACACTTCAGAAGCATTCAAAGTTTACTACAACTCCTTCAAGGGCTTGTTAACATCATTAATAGTTCAGTTAAAAATATGCCCCTGATACAATAAACATGTCCTCTATGATTCCATCTGCAGCACCCCACAGTCAAGTCTTTGCCCCTAACTGCTGACAGAAATGTTCAGACTTTGACATGTAGGCAATAATGCAATTAGAGAAAGAGAAGCAGTAAATAATACAACAGCACTTGTTTAGTTCCCAAAGCCTACAGAACAGATTCTCTCCTTATGATAAGTTTCTGTGTGGAACACAGAGAACATTAAAAAAAATGGTGCCTACCACCAAGGACTTTAAAATCAAGCTCCAATCTTTTCTTCAGTCTTCCCTCTCACCATTCCCTACTAAAACTTTCCATCTCAATGATGCTATTTCATGCCTTTTCATAATCAGGTACTCCTCTAGAATGCCCACCCATCATTCATAGGACTGCATGGTTTAAACATGTACAAAATAACTATTATGCATTAGTCCCTGCACTAGGCCCTGTATTACAAAAAAAAAAAAAAAAAGATACATTTTATGACAAAGAGGAGGTTATTTAGCCTTGGTAAAAAGTCAAAAAGGGGCCTGACCCTCAGCAGTTGAGCATCAACCTATGATCCAGGAGATCAAAGTTCGTTTCCCCATCAGGGCACATGCCCGGGTTGTGGGCTCAATCCCCAGTAGGGGGCATGCAGGAGGCAGTCAATCAATGACTCTCTCACCATTGATGTTTCTGTCTCTCTCCCCCCAATCCCTTCCTCTCTCTGAAATCAATAAAGATATATTTTAAAAAAAGAAAAGAAAATCGTATTGAACCATTATCTGACAGCCAACTGAAAAAGCTCTATAGAAGGAATAAATGTTCTGAGAGAATCAAAGACTTTCCCTTTGTCACAATCCTCAAGGAAAAAGAGAACTTAATTCTCAGAAAAATTAAAAGGTTTTAATGTCATGAGACTTTTAATAACATGGAAGTAAATATTATTCTACATCCAACTTATTTAACTCTGAAAACCTTTTTGTCCTAAAATTTAATATACATACATCTTATATATATATTTATATGTGTGTGTGTGTGTGTATGTGTGTGTGTGTGTGTATACACACATATAAATTCCTTATTTCTGGGTCCCTCAAATATGTATATTACTAATTCATAGCCTAGGAAGATTTCTTATACTAAAAAGTTACCACCTCATCAGAGTCTCAAATCTGATCATGGTGGTAATATTATCACAAACAGCAGCAACAGCAACTTTTGTTATAGCTATAAGCTTGATTTTCATTGAGCCTTTTTATAAAGGGGCTTAAAGTTCATGTCATCTATATCCCTTACATAAGTTAGCGAGGAGGCATAGAGTAGGGCCTTTTCACAGAAGTAAAGAGTAAAGCATAAAAAAAGCTACGTAATTTCCACAAGGTTCATACCAATTGAGATTAAGGCCTGGTATCCAGACTGCCCAATAATTACCCACTATATGCAACAGACCTGTTACCCTGCAACATCATATTTTTTAAATCCTGTGTGCTTTCATCAATTAAATTTTCCACTAGAGAAACCAGTTTTGAAAACTCCTCTGGAAAACTGTTAGGCACTTTTTAATAATACTTTTAAATACTTTTAGTTCCAAAGTATAACAGAAAAGGGCCCTAACTAAAGTTCATCAGATATATTAGAACAATTAAGATTAACCCCAAACCACTCAATTTCAGACATGAACATCATACAGGTCAATTTTAAGCAATCATTAAGAGTAACAAAATATCCATTTTCTTAAATAATTAAGCTTTACCTGCTTTCATAACTTTTCAAAATAATTATTTAAAAAATTATTAGAAGTCACAAAGTAACATGTAGGTAGCTTTCAATTCAAAAAATGTTACTCTGTAAATCAATCAACCCTACCAAATAATGTGGAAATTGTGAATAAATGTTCACCAGAGAGTAAAAAGTTCACCATTTAACTGGAAATCTGATCTATGCCAGAATGTAAATTTTAGTGGCAAAAGATTTTAAAGACGTAATAAGCATTGGCTAAGAGAATAATTTTCAACACATACACAGATTTTGGCAAGTACAAATTGATTTTCCCCTGATTGAGACTATTAGAGAACAACTCCAAGGGTCCTTGACATGTAGCAATTTGCAGTTTTGCTAAGGTATGTATTTGAAATGTAAGTAGTGAAAGGCCTGGTTATAATAATGAGTCACTGACCTAGCTGAACCCTCAGCCATATCTCCATCCTTCCTATCATATTCATAAAAAAGTCAGTTCATCTGGAGAACACTGCCAAATGGTTGTCCTCTGACTTGATATTTCTGCATGACTTCATTTAATCCTCAGACTACTCTATGAAGTAGAAAATATCATTATTTCCATGTGTGAAAATTAAGATATTAAGAAAGGTTAAAGTGACTTCCCCAAGGTGACAATCTGTAAGCAATGGAGTCAAAATTAGGGCCACATCAGCCTGACCCAAGAGCCTGAGCTCTCAACCATCAGCAATCCTGCCACTGAGCTGATTTTTGGCTAATGTCACTTCAGTATACTAGAGTATAGGGTTTTAATGAAATGATTCAGTTTAATTGCTTAATAATTGCATTAGTCTTGAGTTTATAAACCTCACAGAGGATCTGGACTAAATTTTTTAGTTAGTACTTAAGATCTTGGACTTTTAAGTGAGACCACCCAGGTTATCAGCCACTGACCTTGGGCAGATGACTCAACCTTCCCGTATCTCAGCTCCCTCAACCATAAAATAAAGATAATGATAATATTTGCTTCATGGGATTATTGTGAGGATTAAATGAGTTAATACATGTAAAGCTGATAATAGGCACTAAGACTGTTAGTTATTATTTGAACTGTATGACTTTCTATGGAGAAAATTATTTGCTCTGGTGTTACAAGAATTCAAGGCTCTATGAAGGTCTTAGGATATATCTTAGCACTCTACCTGAGTTTCTTCATCTCCATTGCTTTTCTTTAATTCATTATCTGTATTTAATCAGTGCTTGAACTGCCTCTAGTTATGTAATAAACTTTAATTTAGAATTGCAGATGAAATTCTTTTTAAAAGTTTTATATAAAAGATATGTATCTTATATAAATTAAATGAGATTAAAATGAGATGATTTGTGACAGGAAGCCAAATGACTATAACCAATTTGTCTAAAGATCCAGTTCTATGCAAGAGGCTATTAAAGTGTCTCAGAGAATTTAAACTTGACCTTGGCAAGGATACTTCTCATGTGATGGAACACCCTGTACTTTTCCAAATATCTTGAAGAAACTGAACACTGCAAACCTTGTCTTTATAGCTTCTTATTTGAGAACAGGGCAAATTATCAAGCAGATGTTTCCATAAACACAACTTTAGAATGTTATTGGGTCCTGAGAATCCATTACCTTAAGACAAGGAGAAGTTGGCCCTTAAGACAAGGAGAAGTTAATGACTTAGCAATATCAACTCAAAAGCTAAGTTGAATTACGAAATGGCAGCAGGTGAAATGGCAAATACATCAGCAGGATTTATCAGGAACTGTGTATTTGTGAGAAAAATAGCAAATAATGCAAAACATGTGAAATGTTCATAAATATTAACCTAAGTCAAAAAATCTAAAATTTGGCTACATTAAGATAAAGAACACTGCAAATTTTGAGAGGGTCTGTACTCAGGTCAATTTGCACAGATCCAAAAGTTAAATATATGAAGTCTGCCCAGTAACAATCACAAATTTCTCACTCCCCATTCCCCCCACCCCAAATTATTCTAATGTAGGCCAGGTCTTTCAGCATTTAATCAAAACAAATGATTCTTTAAGAAAAGAGCTAGACTATGAATTTCATATAGACCAATGTTTGTAACTGGTATTTTCAGTTTATTTTTAATGTTTTCAATGCTTTTCTCAAATAAGCAATATCTTTAAAGTTGCCTTTGCCAATGTCCACGAGACTTCGTTCGCCATGCTGTATTTTATGTGAGAGTCAGCAAAGAACTGCCTTATGATGCTCCAAGAAATTCAATAGATTCACCCTTCTGTTATTAAGGCAATAGTCATTTTATTATTATTAAGGCACTAGGAATTTTTAAACAAATCATTTTAAGAAAATGTTCTGATTACCCTCAGTTTCAAATTTCTTTTTCCTTTATACTTAGCTGAAACCAGACTATAGGAAGTAATTAAGGGTAGAGATAAGTACAGGCAATTTTATAATACTTCTTATTAAAAAATAACAATCACTAAAAGAAAAAAAGAAGAGGAAAATGGTATTAGTCCCATGGTACCTGGTATTTCCATACCATCATACATGTTTGTTGGGCAGAATTAGCCAAATATTATAAAACCAAGTGTCAAGGAGAAGTGGACAGATTGAACCCTAAAAATACTTAGGATAATTTCCATTTGCTTAAATGTAACTATTTGCACACAGTGTTATGAGATCAGATCATAAATACTACATATATTATAAATAGAAATATTTCATGCATAGTAGTATTTAGTTAATGCTAGTGGAATTGAATTAATAATATTCAAAAGTTCAGTCTTTGTCAGGTAATAACTCAGTACAAATACAATTGAGAATTTCCATGATTATTGTTGACTATATTTTTATAAAAGTATTTAATGCATAAAGCTTTTCATGGCATTCACAAAGATAGACAGCAAAATTATAATGACAATAAGAAGAGCATGAGCTCTTCATTACATTAAGGAATTAAGTCAACAGATTTAAATTAGGTAGAGAGATAATTTTAATGAAAATAAAAATGTATTCATAATAAAGAATGGCCTTAAATGAGGATGCTTTCTGTTTTCAATCTGTTAATTTTCTACAATGTTCTGTATCATTCAAAGACTACGGTACTCAGACAAGAGCACATTTAATCTCTGGGGTCTTCACAGCAGATGCAAAGTGATGGCAATTATCCACAATTGCTTATATGATGATTACTGAGTGATCAAGATTTCTCATTAACAAAATATGCCACACTTGTTAGAGTAGCTAGCTAAAGTAATGGTTCACTTTGCTCAGGTCTCTTTCTGTTTCTTTCAGAAAGTGGTTGAGTTTACAAAGTCCCAGACAATTTTGTCACCTTGGTGTGCCATCTCTTACACATGAAATGTAAGTAGGATGAAGTAAATGAGTACCTAGAGGTGCCCATTGCCACTCATGGCTGGCTGGCAAAGGGTGGATTAAGAGAGCATTGAATCTGGAATAAAATATATATACAATGCTTATCAGCTGGCTAGACCATTATGAAATGCGGACTGAGTTATTCTAGGGAGGAAGAAAAAAATCCATCTAACCTAGCTTTTTAATTTCTTCCTCTTTATTCTTCAAGTCTCAAAACTTGTGCACTCTCCTTCAGGAAGCAAAAGATTTCCCCCAGTTTGGGTCAAGTCCTCTCCTTTGTTCTCTATAGCACTGGATGTTCTCCTGATACAGTCAGAGAACTTAATCATTTTGTCTCCATCACTAGACATGAGAGTTCCATGGGGACATAATATTCATAAGAACCTGTACAAGTCCAGGTTCATATTAGGGACTTAGGAAATGTTTACTGAGCTGATAAAGAGACCGTGGTCTAAGGCATAAAATTATATTCTTCCTTCTTCTTTTATGGGTGGAGAAAGCACAGGCCTTGTATATGCTCATTCATTCACTGAGTTTCAATGAAACGATACACTGCAAAATGCTAGAGGTACTGTAATAAAACAGTATGTTTAAAAATTATAGTACAATTTGATAAATGTTGCTAAAGATAAAACTATTAAGAGCCAGTAAACACGGAGAGATTTTGTACAACCTATCACAGAAAGCTTCTCAGGATACAACATTTGAGTTGGGTTGTAAAAGTTGGGCAAACACAGGAGACAGGGAGACAGACTTCTAGGCAAAAGGTCTTCAGAAAACATAGCATGTTCAAGAAATGAAAAGGAGAGAGACAGGATTGTGACAAGCCAAGGTTGGCAAAATAAGTTAGAAGCAGCTTATGCTGTGTGAAAGAATCTGGGTTTTATCTTCAGCGTAATGAGAATCAATGAACCCATTTAAGCAGAGAAGCAAAGTTATGAGCTCCAATTAAGACATAAGATTCTGAAATTAGCATGAAAAAAATGGATACATGCGTAATGTTTGAGAAACTAGGGGCAAGGAGGCTGGAGACTCAAGTTCAGAATACTGATCACTGGCTATATTAAATAAAAGAAAAAATAAAATTAAACAAAATAAATATTCCTTTCCCTGGACTTATACACTAGTTCCCTGGTAAAGATTGTCAACAACTTGGGAAAATAAACTGAATTTTTCTCTGAAGTCTAATACTTACATAATAACATTGTTGCTGTCATATAGTAATTTAGTAAGGGTAAGCAAATACTGCTGCAAATGGAAGGACTTTTCATACCTGAGACACTTTGCCTGTTGGAATCTGAGTCCCCATTACTTGAGTTAGAATTGTTGGAGGAGTTGTTGTCAACCCCTCCCAGAAGGGGGCGCAAGTGGCTTACTGAGACTTGTTCAATGAATGATGTTCCATACTTGCGAAAATACCACCATTCAAATATCTAGAATAGAAAAATAGTAAGTGTGATTATGTCCTCGTTACAGTTTATGATTTTTATACACATGCCCATAATATATGTTGCATTTACTAATTATATCTACCTTAAATACTTAATTAAATAATTTTTATTCCAAAAAAATTGTTTTATTCTAAAAATTAAAGTTTATAAAAATTAAAAGACCAATTATACTTTAAATTCTTAATGTTGTTTTCTCCAATTAATATTGGTTTTCCAGAAAAATCTGCCCTGGCTGGTGTGGCTCAGTTGATTAGGCATCATCCTGTGCACTGAAAGGTTGCTGGTTCAACTCCCGGTCAGGGCACATGCTCGGGCAGTGGGCTCAATCCCCCATAGGGGTTGTGCAGGAGGCAGCCAATAGATATTCTGCTCTCACATCAATGTTTCTCTCTCTCCCCTCCTCTCTCTCTCGCGCGCTTTCCCTCTCCCTATTCCTTCCTCTCTCTCTCTAAAAAATCAATAAAAAAAATTTTTTAAAGAAAAATCTGTAACTACAACCATGGACAAAAGAACACTGTAAGAGTTGCTCAATATTATTTTTCTCCAAATTTACATATTATTCTAACAACAAAATCATCATAGCTGAAAGAGAATGCCAAAAATGTATACAAATAAGTCAGTTTTAGAAGTATGGCTTATGAACTATTCCACCTTAGACTGTGATAAAGCCATACCTGCATAAAATTGTAAAGATAGCAAAATTTCATTTAAAAAATGCGCCAAAAAAAAAATCTCCTTAGAAAAATGCTGGTTTTACAAAAAGAGTGGATGACATCCCATTTCATGTATGGATGGCACCCAGCTGCTAAGAGAGTCAGCAATATCCCACCTGCTAAGAGTGCTTTATTATTACAAGCATCTGTTGTCTACCATTAATGTTTCCTAGTTCACAAGCATACCAATTATTATGTACTATGTGTTGCAAAGGAGAAAAGAAATAACTTTCATTAATAAAAGGAAAGAAGCAATGATACTCATATGACTGTACTAAAATCAGGATTTCCTAAGCACTGGGAAAGCAAGCAACCTCTCCCAACCTTTCTTATCTGGCTACCCTGTCCCTCCAGTAGAATACTTTTCTACCACTGTTTGAAGTTGTTCTCATCCTTTCCTCTCTTCCCTGACTGACCTGGAACACGTTTTTAAGCAGTCACAAATCATTGCACAGAAGAAATTTAAGAATCAACTATATCCCAGAGTCTCAGAGCATAATTATACTATATTTTTATAATAATAGAGAATGTGAAATTAACATAGAACTGCCAGACCTTAGTTCATTCATTGTCACACAGCACTGAATGCTCCACACCATTCATGAGCTGTTACAGAGCACAGATGTGGCCCTTGCATTATCAGTCCATGCCACAGACCCACAATGCCTCTCAAAGGTTACTCCTTGCATGGGCTATACCCATCACAAAAAACACCTCAGGACACTTCAGATTTCTCAGTCTCCCCAGCAGATTCACAGAATGTCAGTACTAAAAAGGACTTTAAAGGACCAAGTACAGTCTCCATTTAGAGATGAGGAGGAGTGAAATCTATACATGAAGGTGCAGTGACCTGACCAAAGTCACACAGCAAGTTAAATAGTTGCTTAGTCTAAAGCCCCAGCTCTGTGCCACTAATCTTACCAGGGCCCTATAACAAGATATCTTTTTATAACTCTGTTGATCATTTAAACAAACACAGACGGATGTAGACTATCATTTCCCTTTTCAAATATTCACTCCCATGTGTCCTCCCACTCTACTGTCCCTCTGAGGTTTCTTAGCTGTCAAAACCACTCCAGCCCGGCCAGGCGTGGCTCAGCGGTTGAGCGTCGACCTAGGATCCAGGCGATCGGGGTTCAATTCCCGGTCAGGGCACATGCCCAGGTTGGGGGCTCAATCAATGACTCTCTCATCATTGATGTTTCTATCTCTGCCTCTCCCTCCCTCTCTCTGGAATCAATAAAGATATTTTTTAAAAAACAAAAAAAAACACTCCAGAAGTAGCCTATCAAATGGAACCTGCATTATAATAGAAGACAGATCTACACAGTATTCCTAATGTAGGAATAACGGACTTCAGTAAAGACTGGGTTATTTTTGCAGTGGTTTCGAGGAGAAAAGGAGGGCCTTTTCTGATCAATAGATGGCTTCTTATCCATCACTGTCTTTCTTTAGACTAGTGCCCCCAACACCCTAGAACAGAGGCTCCAATATGTATTGAATGAACAACTACAGGACTTGAAACCTTCTTCAACTTCAAACCAAGTCTTCTAATTTGAGGTTTTAGAATAACAATCTGCCCCTTATCTTGAAACATGACAGGCTTTGGGCCAGCATCTCACAGTATTTTAGAATAGCCGCACTAATCCAAATGGGCAGATGGCATTATCTAACATGCACATATTTGTTGTCACTTTGAATTCTTCTCCATGGTGCATAACCTATAACGTAAACCACAAAGCTCTCATAAACAAATTTAGATTTTAAATTTAGTTTTGGACATGCTAATAGCTAACTAGGCTTGCCACAGTAGAACAAAACAGTTTTTAATCTGACAGACAACCATAAAATTAGAATATAAATAATACATTTCACAGTTTGAAAAAAGTAATCTCTCTAGTATTTTTTCCCTATTTATGTCCCACCCCAAGGATTATATAGCATCAATTGGGTTAAACATTTAGAAAGCAACAATGAACCTACCATCTAACTGAAAGGTAAAAACCCTAGTACAATTCATGACAGCTGAGTTGTATGACCTTGGTTGGTTCTTTTGATTTTCTGGGGCTCGGTTATCTAATGTGTAAAATAAGAGGAAGGAAGGAAGGAAGGAAGGAAGGAAGGAAGGAAGGAAGGG